TATCTAGACAATCCTATGTTGGCACATAGTTTATGGGACACGGGTAATCGCCAATTGTCCACTCGGTACTAAGCTTAACTTCCATGGTATAGTTCTTAATCATATTCATCTTAGCTCTCGAAGGAACATGGGTAATCCCCTCTTGTCCGTACATCATGTGACATGGGTAATCACCTCTTGTCTTTTAATTAGAGAGCATAGGTAATCACCTCTTGCCTTAACATTAGAATAACTCCTTAACATTGGTTCATTTTAGGTGAAAAGACCTTTCAACCCTAAGAACCCTTATTATGTGAGAAACCTTTCAACAACACAACAACAATAACATCATTAATACTTCACTCTCAAAGCATACTTAAAAAATATACCTCAATTTCATAAGAACATGCATAATTCAATAATTCACCTTTCATGGTTCAAAACCCACTTTCGATCATCAATATCTAGAAAACTGGGTTAGACATGGGTTCATGGGAATTCATCATAAAATCATGTAATTATATCAATTCATGCTTCATAGATCAAAAAACAATTAAATAAATCAATAATTAAAGGAACCAATGACATGGAAGAAAGCCCTAACTCAATTGGGGAATTCTATCTTTATAAATTGGAGAATTTGGGAACTCCTTGGAGAAAAGGGTTACATGGATGAAAATTATCATACGTCAATGCCAAAAGCTTGACTTCAATGGTGGAATTGGAGACTTGACTTGAAACCCTAGGTTGACTCCTTCTTTTTCTTCAAGCTTCCTAGAGAAAGAAATATTTTGAGAGGAAAACTTGTTCTCCTTTTAGGATTTTGAGAGAATGATGACATTTTGGGGTTAAAAACGCTTATATAGGTGTTTTGGCGAAGGGTAAAATGATATAGTATTAGACTAGAACAATTAGGAAAACTCCCAAAATCCCCTCTTAAAATAACTGTCGATCCAATGATGGTGACGACCTACGGTCTATCGATTGTCCTACGGACCGTTGATAGTCTCAGAGAATTAATGTCTAGGCCATCAAACAAAGGGTCACACCTATGGACCATGATCCCATCGACGGGCCGTGGATCACGACCGTAGGTCCCAACTTTTACCCTTAAATTTTCTCTAAGTTTGAGACTCACCTACGAACCCTACCTATGACTCAAATATTGGACGACGGACCGTCCTGGTGAGCCGTTGAAAAAGTACTCAAACTTGACAATTTGGGAAAACTTTCCTTGCCAACCACGAACCTAACCTATGGTCCGTGGGTCGTTCCACTGGTCGTGGATGGCACTGTCGAAACTGGCACCAAATTTCTGAAAACTGACATTTTTCCCTTTTTGAATATGAGGTGTTACATATTTCTCTTTTGGTTGAGTGAGAGTTGTATTGATTCCTTACTTTTTTTATTTATTTACTTTGTTAGAGCATGAAATTATTCTTTATTTGAGGGCACTTGAATGTATTTGTTGAAACATTCTTTTGCATTAAAAAAAAGTTATAGTGAGCTTGAGCTTGTTTGATACTAGCTAGTTATCATTTGAAGCTTTTTGTTCATGATTGAGTGTAGCGTGTTATTGAGTAGTATTGTAATGGTACTAGCATGTTAGCTCTCATTGACAATTTTTTTAGACACCCTTGTTGAACTAATTGTGTTCTTGATTTAGTTGAGGACAAATAAAAGTTTAAGTTTGGGGTGTTGATGAGTGGTGATTTACACTCATTTGAAGCCTATTTAGTTCAACAATTAGTGTCCTCAATGCCTAATTATGTCCTATTCCAATGAGATTTTGATGATTTGCAGCAATGAAGGCTAAGGGACAAGGAAATGATTAATGTATGAAAGAATGGCCAAAAACATGAAAAGAAATGTAAACTCAACATTTTTTATCGTCTATCCAGAAGGGCGAATCTCTAAATTTGCATGATCTCGCCCAAATGACAGTATTTGAGACTCAAGTGTTAATTAAAATGGGTGGAATAGGGTAACGTTGATGATCCGCTGAAATGCTAAAGGCGAACCCAGTTGCATCACCAAAATCGATAGACTGGAGAACAAAAGTGAAGGCAAATTTAGGTGTACAAGGTGACATTCGGCGACTCACCGACCATGAATTGTGTATTCCATCACGCTCGCCCAATCAAGCTCAAACACTTGAAGCCTGAAACAAAAGAAAGGCAAATTGAATGACACAAACGGCGATTCAGTGAGTGAGTTCAGCGATCCCGACTAATGTCGTCGAATGGGATATGGAAGAATCTTTTTGAAAAGTATAAATAGTTTAGAAGAGAGAGAAAATTATATATCTTATCTTTTATCATTCTTTATACTTAGAACTCTTAGAGAGAGAAAATATTAAGTATAACTCCTAGTTTGGGGATTTGAAAATTTCTCTTGTAATTTACAATTGGAGATTGAAATCAAAGCGGGTGTTGATTATAATTGCGTAATTCCTTTTCACCCATGGCTTCACTCATAAGAGTTATAATTTTTGCACTTTTTGTGATGGGTGGCTAAAACCTCAATATCTAGGGATGTGATTATGGAGTTGGGTGTTGTTTTAACTAAATGGGTATCTTCTATTGCTCTTTTTTATTGCTTTCTATCATGGATTTGAGTTGTTACCCTGTGATTAAGTTAGGGTTTAGGGTGACCAACTTAATCTTAGCTTACATCTCAAATTGGTGTTTGAATGAGACCAATATTAGTTAGTAATTAGTTTAATGTTTGCAATTCAGATGGATCTAGTTGTAAAAGTAAAGTAATGGGTTGAATTGCAAACCACATAAATGAGACCAAAAGGAGATTTTATGAACTAATGTTATGAGATCGAAAGAAGGTTAGCATTATTGAAGATGACCTAGCGTATCCATGATAGTTTTGCTTTGGTGAGCAATACAATTTTACCCTTTGTCACGTCGATTTTGTATCCCCACTCCCCTAGAATCAACTCAATTAGTTTAAATTCCGTTTATTTCAAGATTGTTGTTAGCTTGTGACTTTGAAATTATTTGATTAAATTTTATAGAATCATCCACCCATTCGTCTCGTTGGCTACATTAGAATTAGTCGCATCTTAATTCACTCATTGCATTCTTAACATCACACTACTCCTTGTGAAATTTGACCCCGACTCTTAGTTGGGCAATTATTATTGACAACGACCGCTTACTCTTCGAGTTTGTTTTGAAGAGTAGCTTGAGCATTATCACTTAGTGGACTTAATTTCAACAACAACCTATGATCCTTTCCTAATTAATAGTTCAATTATCCAAGCAAGACTAACTGGGCAAGTTCTAGATTGGCACATACAGTGCGAACGAACAAATACCTCACACACACATGGCACATCATTTCACTATCAATTATTAATGTAGATAGTTCATGCTTAAGTCATGTTATCCTATAATTTCTTATCATGTCATATAAATATCTGACATAGTTGGCTTATCATTAATACATATATAGCAGAAAGCACCAAAATTTGGAGGGATATCATTTTTCATCAATCTTGTCATCATGCGTTTACTTCTAGTCTACTTTCGCAATTTACATCCTAAATGTATTGGTTCATCAAAAATTAAATATTCCTTGTGGAAAAGATTACAGGCAAGAAAACCCCAAGGCAAGATCCGAGTGGCTGGGCTATTCAGACTTCATCCTAGCACTCTTAAGAAGTTCATCCCAACCCCACATAAAAATTTGTGCAATGTCCCCAATGCACTAAAAATGTAAAGACTGGGGGTGAAGAAAAACCAGTGGGGCCTAAAACATGGCTTTGGAGATGGAACTACAGGCATCCAGTATAGTCTGTCAAAGTTTCTACGGACCATAGGTCAGTCTCGTAGTTCCTATATGGAGCTACTGGAAATTGCATATATGGACTACGAGACTGATCTACGAGCCGTAAAAGTTTTTACGGATCAAAGATAGGCTTCACAGTCCCCAACCTATATTTTCTTACTTTCAGACATCTTGTACAAATCCTATCTACGGTCCGTAGAAAGTTCTACGATTCGTAGATAGCTTTAGTACAAGGGCTGGTATGAAATTTCAACACTGGTTAGTTGGACTTGTCTACAAAGGGCAACTACGGATCGTAGAAAATCTACGGTCCATAGGAGACCTTCATAGGGTACAAAATTCCCAGCATAGTGTTGGCTCTTTCATACCTCATATTTATAAGACAACAAGCAACCCAACCTATTGATTCTAATCATGGATAATGTATTTAATTCAAAAAACTCACAAAACTATCATCCTGAGGGTTATTTTTTTAACAATCAAATTAAATCACTTAGCACAACAAATATTCCTACCCTAGGTCAAGTGTTAACACCTAAAATTAAACACAAAGGAGTGTGAGGATCGAAAACCCTTACTTGATTGCATGAATTTAAGTTGTGTGAGTGCTCTTGCAATTGTCGAAGACTCGATTCTACTGACCCACGACCTTGGCATTTTTCTTGGTAAATTTTGATATTTTCAGGGAAAGAAGAGGAAGAATGGAAGTTTGAGAAGATGATGATAATGGAATTTAGGGGTTTTAATAGTTGGGTAATGGAATGGAAATGGTTGGAAGGGGAGTTGTGGAGTTTGTAACAGTTGGAGAGGGAAGGGAAATGGGGAAGAATTAAATTTGAAGGGGTTTATTTGAAAAGATCATGCGTCATGTCTTTTATTTAAAGTTACTGCCTTTACAAAAGCCCGTCTATGGACCGTAGGCCTTTTAAACAAAACCAGTCTTGGTTTAGCATCGTTCTTTGACCATAAGGTACCTTAATGCTACCTGATCAGGGTTCACAATGACTTTGGTGCAAGCAAATAAGATCTAAATTTCTCCAATGCGAAGACTACGACAAGAAGTTCTTTCTTAGTGACTATGTAGTTCGTTTTAGCAACATTTAGGACTTTGGTAGCATATTATATGGGATGAAGAATCTTATCACGACATTTCCCTAACACCACACCAAGCGCCACCCCACTCGCATCACACATAACTTCAAACGACTATCCCCAATCTAGTGAAAGATGATAGGTGTAGAAATCAACTTCTCTTTTGACCCTTCAAATGCCTTTAGGAAAGCATCATCAAACTCAAATTTTGTTTCCTTTTCAAGTAACTTGCATAGTGGTTGCACTATCTTGGAGAAGTCTTTGATAAATCTTCGATAAAAGACAGCATTTCCTAGAAAGCTTCTTACACCCTTCACAGAGATAAATGGGGACCAATTTTCAATCATCTCAAATTTAGCTTGATATACTTGAATGCCTTTGTTAGAGATCCGCTGAGCAAGAACAATGCCCTCTTTCACCTGAAGTGACACTTCTCCCAGTTTAGCACAAGATTGCATTCTTCACATCGTTTCAAAACATCACCTAGATGGGCCAATCAATCATCAAATGAGTCATTTACAACAGAAAAGTCATCATGTCACGACCCAAAGTACACCGTAGTCCTATCATGGCTTATAGGACCCCGAGAGACCATATACAAGCCACTTAGAATACATATACAAGACAATAGAATCTTAAAGATTTCAAAAGACATATTTATATCATAAAGAGTTTGACATGTGGTAGTCTAACATAAGTCTCAAAGTCATTTAGTACATCATAAGAAAAGTGATTGGGACGTAACCCATACATCACAAACAATTCTGAAATGGAAATGACATAAAGAAATTAAAGAGTCTCGGTCCACGGAACCTGAAGACTAACCAATCTCTTAAAAAACTCTTAGGATCAATCTAGCCACGAGTATGCGGGATGGAAGCGTTGGACCCTACAATAGTGAAAGAATGTAGGCACAAGTATTCTTTAGTACATGGAATATAGTAAGAATGATATCAATGCATAAGAGTTATGAAATCATGCTAAAAGGGACTTTATATGACATGCAATGGCCAAGCTAAATAATAAATAACATGTTAGAAAATATAAGTCGAAATCATGGTCAATGCAAGCTAAACATCTTTAAAAGACATTTGAAATACTTCTAGGAGTAACCTTAGTTCATTATTGTGGGAAATTTACCTTTAACCGGCATAGACCATGTGAGCTATAACATGGAATCTAGTATCTATCCCACACCAAAAAGAGATGTCCTTACTTGCCAAGGTAAGAACCATAAACTTCTAGCTTAGGTAGATCCACTAGTTAATGTCTATCTAAGACAACCTATGGTGGCACATAGTTATGGGATAGGAGATTGCTACTAAACACCCGATCTCAATTACGTGAGAGATTCCATCTTGATATCCTCTCGGTGCTAAGCATAAATCCCACAAAATAGTCATTAGTCATATTCATGTTATTATCCATGGAAAGGGCACATCAAGTAGCCAATACAAGCTAGAATTCATTAGAATAGCTCCTTAATCTCGATTCATTTTAGGTGAGATAACCTTTCAACCTTTTGAATCCTTTATATGAGAAAATCCTTTCACAATCATGTTTTGAGTAGTATGTGAGAAATATTTTAACAACAACAACAACATCGATGATTACTCTCAAAGAAACATGCATAATCTTCATAAGTTCACCTTTCATAGTTCAAAAGCTTCATCATATGATAAAAATCTAGAAATCATAGATTATGCATGGGTTCAAGTGAATTCAACTTAAAAACATGTAATTATTCCAATTCATGTATAAAAAGGCATAAATTATCAATTTGATCATAATTGAAAGGAACCCATGAGTTTGAATAAATCCCTAATTTCAATTGGAAATTCTAACTTGTAAAATTTGAGAATTTAGGAACCCTATGGAGGAAAGAGCTTTATAGGCGAATACTATCATACCTTGATGTCAAAAGCCTACAATCAATGGTGAATTTGGAGACTTCATCTTGATACCCTAGACTTCTTCTTCAAGCTTTAGAGAGAAATATTTGGGGAAGAACTTTGATCAACTTTTGAGAATTTAGGAGAATGAGTTCAGTTGGGGAATTTGGGGGTAAAAACTGTTTATATAGGGCATAGGGTTAAGGGTAAAATGACATATTATTGGGTTAGAATAATTAGGAAAAGACCCAAAATCCCCTATAAACAAATAACGGTTGGACCCCATCGACGGTTGGACCTACGGTCATAGGTCCTTAGATGGACTGTACTAGTCAACCGTCGATGGGTTATTGGACCTTAAAATTTGATCCACTTTCTACGGATACCATGTACGTTTCGTAGATCTTCCTATGGTCCGTACATGCCATCTGTAGAACCCAACTTTCAAATTATACATGCCATCGCAGACGCTTTAGCCACCCATCACAAAGTGTAAAGAAATTATACCTTGCATAAAAGCAGTAATGGGTAACATGAAATTAAGCAAGTACAAGCAATACCCACTTTGAATTCAACGTCATATTGAGAGTGTCACTGCAATCCTCTACTCGTCCTTCTCTCTCCTTAGTTCTTCCTCATCAGTCTCCCTGGACAATCATCATTGACCCTATCATCCTCTCTCTCGTCATCACTATCAACAACTATGGTATCATAAACACTCGGTTGTTCAGCCATCCCAGAAGGAATCTCAACTTGAGGAATATGATTAGGTACAATCTCAGGCACATTGAACAGAGGAACCTCGCCCCATAGCATAGAGATGGTCCATAGATCGTAGTTGATCTGCATCAACCCTCTGAGCACCAATAACAACCATCATATCAGTCAAGGTGGCTGAACTACCTTATACCTTTTCTTGCTCTTTCATCCTCATCGTTAGGTTATCCAATCGCATACCATGTGCGTCTCACACTGAGCCATCCTTAATTTCAAAGAGGCTATATCAACTTCAATAACCCTAGAAGTAGAAGGTGTTGAGGAAGGTTGGGGTATACCTGACTACTCCACAGAAGGAACGGATGGAGTGGCCTCAACAGCAAGAGTGGCAGGATCAACCACGGGCGTAGTCTCTGGTGGTGGAGGTTCCGCTGAGATGCATCATCCTGTAGATAGTCAACCTCAATCCTCTAGATATCATTGGAGGAGGCCAGGTGATCCTAAAATTAGTCTTCTCCCAAAGGAGAACTTCTGCGTCTTCACACAACTGTGTGATCAAAACCGGTGGATGGGAGGTATATTCTTGCCTGGCTCTCAATAGCACCTCCTCAATAAAAATTTGCCCCTTATTCACCTTTTCTCTATCAATTATCATACCCATTAACACAACCAGTGGATGCCGAATAATGGACTCATTATGTGACGACATAATATTACTTTTAATAAACCCAAACCAGTACCAGGCCCAACATTCAAGTGCTTCTTTTTTATCTTGCATCGTCATCCATCCAATGTGGAGAAATGTCAAAGACGAGCGGTGCCAACCATCCCTTAAGATAGCCAAGGTTATGTCGCATGCGTAATGTAAACATATCAGGCTGGTTTGATGGGGTGCCTAAAGAATTTTTGATGGCACCTGCGTGACATTGAACTATCTTGCCATGCACTTCAAGACATTGAACCATCTTTCCATGAACTTCAAGCTCTTTTAAGGTCTTTCATACTTTGCCATTTCTCTTATTTTGTAATGTTTGTGCATAAGCAGTGTAAAATTCTCTTACCCAACCTGGAACGTAAGGATTTTGAGGTTTGGTAAACCTCTCAAACCTGTGAAATTTGATGGTGTCACATATTGCCGAGTCATCACTCATGACACCATATGTGGAGAGTCGCATCTCCTCAAGAATAGTACACTCTCCAGTAGTCTTAAGCCTGTCGAGGGCCCTTGATGAAATCACTTGGAGAAAACAAGAAATGGGTGCCTGAGTAGAAGAGTAGTACATCAACTTGGACCTGGCGTCTGTCCTTTTTCTAGAAACTACCTTTTTAGGTTGCTCACACACACACATAGAAGAGCGCTGAGTGGTTGGTTGTGGGAGAGGAGACTCAGATGGCTCTTTGATTGTAATCTCCCTATGCCTTTTCAAAGGAGGAGGACAGGAGATAAGCCTTTTTTTTTACTCCATATCAAAAGTCACAACTTGCTTCCCCTTAGTCTTAAACATTTTCCTACATAGCACAATCACTACAAACATCGAATCGATGATGGTTAGTTGCAATCAAAATCCAAAATCAAGCATAGTTCAAAAATGCTATGAGGCTCGCCTACTAGGAAGGCGGTTTTCCTAACAAGTTAGGCGAGCTCGCTGAAATGGACAGTGCAAAAATTCAAGGGACTCAGGCATGATAGGCGGAGTTAACTCATCTCAGTGATTCACCAAATTGGTTTCGGTGGGCTAGAAAAGTCCGCCAAAAGTGACAATGCAAAATCAAAAGAAACAGGAATAAAAGGTGATGTCCACTCCCACTTGGAAATTCGCTGAGTAGGTTTCGACGGACTAAGACAAGTTCGTTTAATGGAACAGTACCCTTGCTACACATTCAAGCAAGAAAGGTGATCTAAGTCTTATTTGGCAATTCTTCTAAGCACCTTGGTGGGCTAATACAAGCCCGCTGAACATGCAATGTTCAGCCAAATGCCTCTTTTCACGAAACAAGTCACAATATGCAACAATACCCGATTCCCCAACAACTTTACAATCTACCCATATGCATTTTCTACACATGGGTATTCAAATTTCCCCAAATAACATAATTTATCACTCGAATTGATGATTTTCCCTTAAGTAAGTCGTCACTCCATCTATAGTTGGTCAAAATCATACAATTGAAGCAAGATCGGGCTAATCAGACTTCATCCACTTGAAATTTAATCAAGATCCAGTACAATTGAGGACTCAATTTCAACACTCAACCAACACAATCATTTTTGGAAAGTTTAGGCACTGATTTAAATATTTAACTTATTGGTACAGTTCAATACAATCTATTTATCACTACCCAACGAAATCAACTAACAATATATTCCAAATGGCCTTTAGCTCATACATAAAAACAAAACTTTAAGCACAAATAGTGAGATATGAATCGAACACCAACCTCAAGTAGATACAAAGTTCAACAAAAGAGGGAATATAGGGTTGAATTGCAAAGCACGCAATCCAAATGCACTCTAAGTACTCAAAAACACACACACGAGGCACTCTCACACTAAAATATGGTATTGGAAGCTTAGGTAATCAAAAGAGTTCAAAGATATCAAATGGTTTCTTTTTTAAATGAAAAGACCCTTGGCTTTTTTATGTCAGGCGCGTTAGGCGATCATGACTAACGTCACTAAGTACATTTTGTGAATCGTCGAAGGAGCTAAAGCTCGTAGAAGAGGCCTGAATGAATACCAAACCTAAAGGTTGATTCAGCGAATTCGATGGAGTCCGCATAGTGTACTTCGGTAGATCGCCATTTGGAGCTCAGATCGCCTAAGTTGATAGTACATTTTTTCACATTTT